TGCGACTCTTCATCAATAAATTTCTCTTTACATGTATTTCTACAAATATTCCAAAAATATAGCTTTGTAGAGCAAACAACTGATGAACACCTGATGTTTCTGTTCAAGTGGAAGAACTTTTCCATACTTTTTAAATTTCATCTTTAGATTTAATCAACGTCATTCCAAATGTGCAACCATCGCCGTTCTCCAATGTTTTTCTATGTTCTTGAATATCGAGAATTAATAAAAATGTTCCGCGCATGAAGCTGGCAGAAATCGAAGGGCTGAATCACGTTCTCGTCAAACCGAAGTTGAACGTGAAGCCAGTCGTGTCACCAATCGACAACAAATGGCCGAATCGTGTTGTCGTCATACCGAAGTTGCATATAGTCATGTGGCAGTGTGACGGACGTACATACATATAGTGACCAGTGAGTGTGGCGGACGTACACACATATAGTCACTACTGAGTGTGACGGATGTACATACATAGAGTCACTAATGAGTGTGACGGACGTACATACATAGAGTCATGTGGCAGTGTGACGGACATACATACATATAGTGACCAGTGAGTGTGGCGGACGTACATACATATAGTCATGTGGGAGTGTGAATCTACATCTCTGCTCAATTCTGTAGTAACAAGATCCGGTTACAATAAAATGAAGAATATTCTCGACACGATATTCATTCGACTTACAGTCAATGGACCGAGTGAATCGATGTGATTCACGTTAGTTATTCCACTAACTGTAAGTAAGTCTATGGTCATACAAAAAAAATTGGGCATACGAAAAAGCAAAAGTGTTTGTGTGTCCGTACACGGGTGTGACGGACGTAAGCACACACGGTGACGGACGTACATACATATAGTCATGTGGGAGAGTGACGGACGTACATACATATGGTGAACAGCGAGTGTGACGGACGTACATACATATAATCATGTGGCAGTGTGACGGACGTACATACATATGGTGACCAGCGAGTGTGACGGACGTACATATACAGAATCACTAGTGAGTGTCATTGACATTGGTGCACAGAGGTGCTTGCGTTCGAGCTTTATGTAGAATCAGGGAAGTGTAACACCTATCCTGACTGCGAGCGCGGATCGAAGGGACGCGTAAGCATTTTCTGTAATTTAGAAACTTTTTTGACCCCTGGGGTTCTTTTGGTGCTCTCGAGAAACCCAGTTTAGATTGAAGGTACTTTACGAAGTTGACACATCATGTCACAGAATTAATCATAACGCATGGTAGATAGTCTCTAGCGAACACCGACCGAAGGGAGGTGTAAGCGTTGTTCTGACTAAGAAGGCCAAACTTTGCTCCCACTTAGGTTTCTTTATCAAGGGTAAGAAGACTGATAGATTTGGTAATATTACGCCCATTTCGAACATCTGTGCGACAGGTAAAAGTAAATCAAATTACAGAGTCTCGATGAACTATAGCAATTCTGATAAATGTTTCTCACCGGCGAAAAGCTAAAGCAAGTGGTTCTGTAAACTAAGATGGAAAATATGCACGTTCTCATCGCGAAACATATATGCCTCAATTCTGTAGTAGCAAGATCGAGTTACAACACAATGAATAATAATTCCGAGAATACACTCAGTGGACTTACAGGCAATGGACCTAGTGAATCGATACGATTCACGTTATTTATTTGATCTAATATTGATATATTCCCCTGGTCAAAGTAAACCGAACACCTCATGTTTTTTGATTACTTCTCCATATTATTGTTCTTTCAACTGATATTTATACTGCAGATACACGGCTTGATATCCAGTCTATTCTCAAAGTTTCAGCTATAAAAAGCAAGAATTCACTCAGAAATTACCTTCGTGTCACATGTGCTCTTGTGTAGTTGTAATAAAAATTTGTTGTTTTTGTTGCTTTTGTTGGATTTCCTCTTTTTAATTGTTAATATTAATGGTTGTAAAATAAATAGGATTTTATAGAGTTTTTTGCGCAATCCAAAACGTTTTCTAGGTTACGGCGCAAAACGCTTTAAACCGACCATTGGTCGATATAGGCAAAAAACGGCTGACAGTATTCGAGTTACCTTCCAAAATTGATCATTGCCAACCTGCCATTTAAATAGATCGTGACTAGTGACATTTCTCGATTTCATTACTTCAAATGTAATTAGTGTGCCCCGGCTACATTCTGTTGATGATAATGGTGTTTTCATTGGTAAGTGAGTGGGTCGCCTGCAATAAGGCACCAATGCCCATGCATTCCTGTAGGCCTTATAACTCAGACTCATATAGGCATATAGACAATCATAATAATCCAGTCTTGCTAAGTCTGTATGATATAAATGAAAGTAGCCATAGCTTTTCCATACCAATATTATTACGACATAAAAAGGGATACCAGTTTTCATTATTGTGCATACGAACTAGATAACTAGAAGATAAAGTGGAATATTATGAGAAACTTTTGCTTTCTCTGCTCAACTTCCTTTTCTCCTATCTTCAAAAGCTTTTATCGTTGTTCATATAACAACTGACAAAAAACCTAGCACCAGATGTGCCTGTTTGTCAACGCTATCATCCATTTACTTATTGATTAACATAGTGATTAAATATCTTCCGTTTCCGTACCATCAATTCTATTGTTAATTTTACTTTAAGTGAGGAAATTGAAACCATTTACTGTTGATTTACCAAAAAATTTTCTGTTTGTCACCAAAAATACAAGCAGAGTGAACGATTCTCGAACCTTTCGTCCTCAGGAAGTGTAGCAGGCTTTATTTGTCGCCCACTGTTTATATTGACTTTTGATTATTGTTTCGAATAATTCACTGGAATTAAGTGTATATTGACACTGTAAACCGAAGTACACACGTACTGTTTGCCACCAATTATCCCCTTGAACTGCCATATTATTTTCACATTTTAATTGTTCTTGCATTCAAAACTTCAAATATTCAGATTCAATATTGCAATAAACTCACTCCCATTGAGGGTACAAGCTAATGCTGAACTGATTGAATAGCTATAACTCATTGAGTAAGCCAAAAACATACGGTAGGATATAAGACGAACGTTGTGCATGCCAACGATGAAAGAATTTGCTAACTAGCAACTGTTCCATACTTCGGTTAACAACATTGATGAACTATCAGAGGAAAACGATCGCGTGGTCCTATATCACAGGTACCTGCTTCAGGTTTTTCTCTCCATTCGCGATAGTTATCTCTCATCAGAACTTAGATCAAATATCTAATATCTAAATCATCTGGAATAGCATTATTAACATTCCAAATATCAGTATCGAACAAACTACAATCTGAATCAACATATGTTCGAATCAGATAATCGGTGAATTCCACTACTGAGAGATTGTCTGGTGTATTTTGATCCATAGTACTAGTCCAAGTTTCTGGTACAATACGTGGTGGAATTAATGCCAATCCTGTTGTGGCAAGAAACCAATGATCTACCTGTTCCTGATCAAAATATGATATATTGACATTGAACCGAATGCCAAAACCCTACCATTTCTGTCTATAAAAACAATTATCTCTATAAATATTTATCTTACAGGTTGAAATATATGAAAAAAAACGATTCACGTCTACGTTTTATTTATGACAAATAAACTAAATTTATGACAAATAAATTTGTTTGGCCTTTATCTGATTTCCATCAACCACTTAAACTGATGTCAGTTACTGTTGTTGGTAATCTTGAACTATTTTTTTAAGCGAGCCCGATAAACCGTTGTATCCACGGTTCGCAACGTTGGAAAAATAAGACCAGTTGCTAAATAAGAGTTTGCAACTCGAACTTTGATAATTTCTGTACTATGAACTTTTGGTATTGCACTACGGAAAATATTAATTGAAATGGGAGAATATAAAAAGGCGGAAAAATATTACCAAATGTTTATGGATGAAGCACAATTAAGTAGAGCCAGAGCATATGCTGGACGAGAAAGAGCTATGGGAAAACAAGGGAATTATGCTGCTACATTAGAAGACCTTCAAAAAGCGTTAGATAGAAATAGTAAAAATATTTAAGCAAGATATTTAAGTGACAATTATTTATCGGTGTTTTAATTAATAGTCTACTAACACACATCTATTCTAACAAAACATCGTCGAAAAAAATCAGCATAACCAATATATTATCACACTTTTCTATCAAAAAGAAAATATTAGATCAGTGATCAATTATTTTGAAAATTACATTATGGATCTTCTACATGATAAGTAATGATATGTCATATTTACCTTGTTCTTCAGGCACTCAATTTCTATTGCTCGCTTTCGTTGAAAATGAGAATATTAAATAAATGTCCAATTATACCAAAGAAATCGCGAATAGTAATACATGCTAACTGAGTTTTGTAGGTATGACTGGTAAAAGACAAACAGTAGATTTGAATGAATTCACTAATTTGATTTTGCTGCATACTCTACAGGAATCCTTCAATCATTGCAAATAAAACAAATTTCAAGAGAATCGGTAAAAATGTTTTTTCTTTTTTGACACAAGAACGGTACAATGGCTGTACATTGACTCGTATATCTACGTATTAAAATGTACAACCATTGTACTGGTCTTGTCCCAAAAAGGATCCATTTTAAAAAAGAATCACACATGACTGGTTTTTGAATAAAAAGAGATAGAAATCTGCGCTTTTCACCACTCAATATGCAAGACTTAGCCGAACACTCGACCAAAACAAGAGAAAACTTTCAGGATAGAATTAGATTAGCCCAACCCACAGTACACTGCGTGTGGATCGTCACTACTTTACTTTTTGTCTCTTGAGTTTTCCACAAGTATCCTGAAAACCTGTCGCTTGCTACTTTTTTAGAAAATGATTTCTTGTTTGCAACTTGATCAACCATTTATCTTTTGTAAATTATTATTTTATTCTAATACTGTAGAGCTTTCGAGTCAACCGACCCATCGTCAGTAGATTGTAAACATTTTTAAAAATGTGCTGACGATGGGTCGGTTGACTCGAAATAAACTAAAAGATAGTTCACCATACAAAAGAAGATCCATGCATCCTTTTCCATGAAACTAAGTTTTTTACGCAACAAGAAGTCAGGAGAAGAAGAGAACGACACCTGTTTAAGCTCTATTTCGATGCACAGTGTTTATATGTATTATAACGGACATCAACTATCACAGAGACAATTCAATTTTTGACAACCAAAATAACTGAAGGCGAATACAAACACGTTTTAGACAAGGTTTGTTGTCGTTGGTTTTGTTCATAGTTATAAACACACAGTCGACTAAGTTTACTATTGGTTAAGAGCGGGTTATGATAGTTCAACTATAGATGTTTCGTTCTTCTAACTAGAAGACTTCAGTTTCGTGATTTTTATGGGAGAAAAAATAGTGAAGGATTTGAATGCACTTTTTATTTA